CTTAAAAAGTACATAAAAATTTTATATTAATAATAAAATATAAAATGAATAAAACTATAATTTTTTTTTGCTTTTCACCGATTTGTTTTATTCCGAATTCATTTAAATTGTTTATGTAAAATTTTTTCTTCTTTTAAATCATTTTGTATATAAAAAAAAGATGTTAGAAATATTTTTATAGTTTTTTATTTAAAATTAACGACTGACTTTGAAACGTTAAAAATATAACGTTGTTTCTTATCTGATATTTCAATTTTTACAATCACCATGACACCAATATTTTTTATTCCAAGGTCGGAATAATTTATGTATGATAAACAAATAATATCGGTAGAGTAATTGTCAATAAAATTCAGTCTAAATCAGTTAAAAGTCTCATTGCAATTTTTTTTTTGGTTTAAATTCATTTATTACTGATTTATAAACTTATTTTCATTGCAGTCAAATTATTTGAAACTGTTATTACTATTATTCGAGCGAATTGTAATATTACTATTACAAAAAAAAAAATTTCTATTTAAATTCTGAGAAACTTTTGAGGTTCAAAGTTATAAAGTCTGAGAAATTGGTAAAAAAAATACTCTAATTATTATTACATTAGGATCAGCATGAAAAAAATTTTCATCTTCTACTCGGAATTTTTTTTAGATTATACTTTAATATGTACTGGCGAAATCCTCGAAGTAGCTCCAAATGGTGCATCTAGCATATGTATCTCATAATAATTATTTTCTCTCCAGTTTTTTTCAAATTATATTCATTTTACATCTAAAATGAGTCGAAAGGTTTACGGACATAACAGATGATTCTGCATCTAGCGAAGAGGAAAGTGGATATGAGGAAAAAAACAAAAGTTTTAATCGAAAAAGTTGGAACAATGTGGTAGCAGCCGGGCCACACCCGATTCGACAATAAGGCTAACGTCGTCGACCGTTAAGACGTAAGCGATTTACCATTTTCTTGATATAATTCTTATTTATCTCAAAATATCGTTTTCTCTTTTATTTGTTTTCTACTTCACTTCTTCGATCGTTAGTTCTACTGGCTTTTCATTTATTTCCTCTTAATAGCTGAGCATTCATTCCCAGTACACGTAAAAGAAACTTCAACTTTTACGGTGAAATTTCTTATTTTCTTCGCCGCTTCTTTTAGCTATTTCATCTGATACTTTTCTACTTTTTCGACGTCTTTAATTAATTAGCCATTTCGAACTTTTTGATATTTTTATTTTTTATAGTCTGCCTCAAACGCTCTCGACTGTTAGTAAATCATTACTCTAACGAATATAATCTATTAATACATTTTATATTTTTTTATATGAATAAATTTTTTAATGAAAATATGATGTTTTATCTTTCGTTTGAAGCGAATTGAAATTATTGGAAGAGTGATATAAAAATTCATTCTATTAGAGAATATTCCATTTGAATAAAATGAATCAATCAAACTAAAAGTTAATAAATAAAATGAATAAATAAAAATTTTTTCTGTGACGATTTTCAAAGTACTCTTCCATTAAAATGAATTTTATCACTGATCATATGGATTAGTTTTTACTTTTAACAAATAAATTTAGAAATTGATTTTATATCACATTTTATTGAAAACTCATTGTACTGAAAGCTTTTATTATTACTCCGAAATATGATTGATTTGTTATCAATCAATATCACTCAATCTATTCTCTTTACTGAATTAAATGACTTTTTAAACGTAATTAATCAATAAAAAATAGCATAAAAATATCCTCTCTAATGACTTCCAGATAAACATGCTTTTAACACATCATCATAAACATGAAGGTAAAAGTATTTTCACCTATTTTTATTAACCAAGGCAGAATACTGATCATTTGTTACTAAAACTGCAACAAAATATTTTCCAAATAAATATTTTTAGAATTTTATGTAGAATGTCAGACATTTTCAAGCATCTCTGGTATATAATAGAGAGAAAAAAGTAAATGCATAAAAAAGAATTCAATCGACCCTTCTTTTGAGTAAATTTACATAAAAATAAATAAATGAAAACTTTCGTACAGTGAACATCGTATACTTTTGAAGAAGTTATGTGAAGGATATCAGATTCTACTTGAAATCCTCTAATGTAAAAAAATTTATTCAGGTCTATTTTTATTTACTTTTCTTCTAGTTTAATTTTTTTTTCTTGAAATAAACATGAATTGAAAAATGTTGCATACATAATAAAATGTCGTCAATAGCAACGTTTCAAGTAGTAGAAAATGAAAAGCGATAATTAAATTTTCGTTTGCTTAGGTTTAATGAACAAACTTAAGGAGTAAAAGAGAATGCATTAGTTTCATCGCAGAGCTAAATCTTATTCGAAGGTATATTTGTATGTATAAGATATACATGTATACATAACTACACAGAAACTTGAAGGAGAGAAAGATCGATAGATCCTGTCGTTTCCGACGCAATCGGGACAAGCGAAGTTGCATTCTGTCTGAATGATGACTTCCGTTACGGGCGATGTTCTGACCCCCGGACTTCCTTATCGACTGGATAAATCGAAAGACGATTCTGATTAATCGTCTTTCAAGTTTTCCAACCCTTCTTGACTTTGTGAAATTCTCAGCTATCTTGTAAAACGATACGATCGATTTTTCGACAAAGACAGACGGCCAGCTAAAAAAGACCATTCTTGAAGAAATGGTTACAAAAGTACTGGCAAATTGGTAATTCCGATCTATTCTGGTAAAGTTTACGCGAAAATAATTCTACAATGCTGACATCAGCATTTTTTTCATGAGTAATTTCGAAAGCTATTGGTTTAAAACATCCAACAAAAAGATTCTTTACCTTAAATGTTCCAGTTTATGCATTTCTATGAAAATCTTTATTAGATTTTTTTATTCCAAAAACAGTAAAAATAACAATCACACTGATTCAATAAATAAATTAAATTTGATTGTGAATATTTAATTTTTATTTATTGAAAAATTTTAACTATGATAAAAAATTAATCTTCTGATTATAGTTTATTGTAAGACAATAAATATTTTATGATATTTATGAAGTACAAACTAAGTTTGATCAGTGATAAATAAATTTTTTTCTCAATATTTATTATTCAGAGATTTAAGTCACTCAAGTTATAAAATATTTATTCAGTGACTCAACTATTATTCCCTGACTCAAGCTAATATTTCACCCCATACTTTGATACATTCATAACATATTGATTAATTAGTTGTTATTATGTATAAGAGCGATAGAGGATCCAGTAAACAGATGGTTTTCACACTAATAAAAAAAAAAATGTTATTCAGAGTGAAAACTATCAATAAACTCTTCATCCAACGATTAAGTAAATGATGTATTGCTATTAATTGAAACTTCTACTGAAGATTTATTATACCTCAATTTTGTTAAATGTTATTTAATATCAGGAATATTTAATAATAATTTCTAAAATCTATTTATCATAAATATAATTAAATAATGATAAAATAGTGTTTAACTTTATACAATAATGCAAAGTATTTTATAAAGAAAATATTTATGTTACGTTGATTTATCTTCTCCTATTAATTACAAATTAATATTTATTTATTTCAATAAAATTCTAAACAACAAAATAGATGTTAATTATTAATTTTTATTTAATCGTTTGGAAAAACAACTTTTGATTCCACGTGGTCACTTAAATAAGCATAAAATAAATATTTTTCATATTTATTCGTCCAAATCAAAATTCGATCTCATTTATAAATTTATTCAAATCAATTAATTGACTCCAATAATTATCACAAAAATCATTAAACACAATCTACCGATCCAATAACAAAACTTGCACAAAAAAGATAGCTTTCCAATCTCCTGAATATCGAGTTTAATTATAGCTAAATTTGTGTGATAAAATAACACAATTTCATTTATTGACTGTCTCGTGAACAATAATGTTAATTAAACAAAATGGAATGATTAAATTGATCGTGATAAACGAGATATTACCAAGGACTCGACAATAGCTTATAATGAAGTTAGACAACGTGAGATAATCAAAAATATTTATAAATTGTATTTAAAATTGTTAATTAAAAACAAACGTGTAGAGAGCTCTCAGTATTATCGATGCCTAGAGGAGGGCCATTGAGAGAAACAGGACGGAACGAATGAGTGAATTGGAGCAAGAGGATGAGTCAGAGGGCTCTCAATGTGAGTTTGCCAATCCATTTATGAAGCAATGCCCACATTTCACGAGATATTTCGTCGATAGAGACCTATAGCTGGCGAAACATGAAATATTCGTTCTTCTTATTTGTTCATTTATGATAGAGGGTAGTTTTGAAAGATAAAAAACAGTTGTGATATTATATTTCTGTTCACTGGGCAGTTAATTGGATGGAAAAATTCCCTGCTAATAACCGGTATTATATACAGAGCAATAAAAAGTAAAATGAATTTCTTTAAACGTATTTTTTTCCCTCTATTTTATATTTTCATCGTTTATACGAAAATATTCACTGATGTTCGAAATTGAGATATCACTAACAAAAAGCTCGTTTAAAATTACTTTTACAATTTCACTACTATTTTTGAAATACCAACTGTTAGATAAACCAATGTGAAAAATCGATTTTATTCTAAAATTTAAATTATGAATTATGTATTATAGCTTTGGAAAAATTTTTCAATTCAATTCAATATCAATTTTTGATAAAAAATACTTTTCGCTTCCAAATAGTATTGCGGCGATTTCTATACCATCATTTTTTCGGAAGTTATAAACGCTGGAAGTCAAAAGTAAATGCCTTGCTTCGGAAGCTCGTAACTCTGTGAAAAATGATCGTAGGAGGATTTATAAACAAGCGGGAGAATATTTCATTCAGATTCTTTTAGAATGAAGTTTTCTAAGTATTTAAAAATTTATATTTATTTAAAAAATTGATAAAATAAATAAATTAATTAATTAAACTATAAAACTCATACTCTACACTGCAAATGTCATATTTACAAATGTTTTATTTCCATGCATTTAAAGTGTTTTAAAATGGCATCATTCATTTGATTAACATTGTAGTCACTTTTTGAAGACCTTCAAGTGCATCCAAAGTGACTACAATGTTAATCGCGTGGAAAACGTCATATTAAAACACTTCAAGTGCATTGAAGTAAAACACTACGATTTGCAGTGTAATTTACATAAATAATCTTATAATTAAATTAATGAAAAAAAATAAATCAATCTGAATATAAAAATTACGTAAAATTCTCTTGATTAGTGATTAAGTTTGATGACTAAATTATCTAAAATAATGTAATCGATGTTTTAATATCCTTTTCCTCACTTCTCCTACGTTTTCTTCCAATTATTGTAATTCATCTACGGTGAAATACCCGAACTCTGTGCATCCTGTAAAAGGGGGCTGCTGAATGTATCCTAATTGTCCTTTCTCGAAACACTGGACCTGTAATTAGAATATCTTTTATTATGATTGTTTATGAGTTAATTCTTTTTTTCTTAATATTTTGTAGATTGTGGTTCTCACCGCTAGATCGTCGCTGATGATTGTTGGCTTGTGGTGGTTGGATGGCAGATTGTTGTGCTGGTGATCTCACCTCTTGTCTAGCAGCTGGTACTGAAGGTGTTCGCATAGTGTGTTGGGATAACAGGGCGGAAAGCTGCAGTAGGAGTCTTTGAGAATTCTGTTGAGACACCAGGACAGGAGTCTGTGATGACGATGAAGGCCTTCCCGTGGCTGCATCTTGATCGTATTGCTCAGTTATACTCTGTATTTCTTGGACAACCCAGTTTAACATTAATAGTTGCATTTCACCAACACATTTAAACAGATCTCCCATTTTTGTTATATTATCAATAGATATTGAGAGTAGATGCTGTCTTTCTGCCATACCTTTAAATCAAAAATCATTGTTTCATATCAATTGTTATAGAATAGTTTACCTAAAATCTAAGAGATGAAGTGAATGACATTTAACAATGACTTGAAACATAACCAATTTAAAGTATGTATCGTCAACAATATTTAATTTATTTATCAAACAATAAATTTGCAATGTGTCTAATAGTGCGTTTTGTATCATTAAATTATATTTCCACATATAAATTTGATGACCCAAGATTTGTCCGAATAATTATACTTCAATATATTCTTAAAATAAAATATATTTTGAACAATGATTTTTTCCATATAGAAAGTGTCAACCAAAATTTATAGGACATAAAATCAACTAAATGATTGTGATTCTAAAACACTTTTAAAAACACTGCTTTCTAACTTAACATTTAATAATAAACACTTAACAATAATTGAAAATTATCACTTGTATTTAGATTAAATTTTGCCATTAAGTTTTTATTCGCAAATCATACACTTCACATCTTAACATTTAAGGCAAAATTTTTAGAATAATTATAATAATAGGTACTTACTAATTTCGTTGTTGACCATTCTCAAGCACTCACTTGTCAATGTTTACAGCACAATTCAAATATCACACGATGTTTCTCTACCGAGCTGTCACACAAGACTGAGATGAGTGTCCCAAAATTGACCAGTTAATATAAGTTCCAGATAACATCCAAAACACTTGTAGAGTTCTTAAAAATTTTGACCATTGAACTAGGGGTTTTTTCGAACAAGATCATAAAAAGACTTAGAAGAAAAGGAATTTCCCCGTGTAACGTATTTTCCATATAAGTCTTAACAGACGGACAGCTTGAAATTTGAACATACATTCTATCACATAAAAAAAAGGACAATTTATTTACAAACAAACAATTTATCATTCTAGCAAATATGTTGCAGCTTAAAGAAGGGCTTGTTTGCAAGCAGGAACACGAGGATACCAGTTGGTCAATTTTCAAAAATTACATAAAATCTGTTTTTAAAAACAGAACATAGATAAAATCTACGAGTGAATAATCGGATTAATAATTTTATTGCTCTTCAAAGAAGGTGAAGTGAAGATATGTCATGTGGTACTGGCATGAACGAGTGGGGTTTTTTTGATGCCCTTGCAACTTAATAGCTGGAAATTTCACTTGATCCCTACCATGTGAGGGTAATCAAGGGATTTTTACGTACTTCACGCTTTTTCTGTAGAGAAGAAAGAGTAAAAATCATGGTCATAACTATGCAAGAAATAAATATATATTGATTTTCATCGATTTATAAATAGAGAATGATGTAATAGTAGAATTTATAAGTAAATAATTTTTTTAAATTTATTATCGCAATTACCAGGATGATAAAAGTCGATAAAAAATTTCGATTAAATGCTTCTCAACTTCGAACAAAAGCTCTAAAATGCATGCTGGCTTATCGAAGTCCGATAATTTCTAGCTTCACGACACAGCTGTTGTGAAATCACGAAAATTCTTCATTTTTTGCCAGTGATCCCTTATTTTGGAACTTTAGTATATACACCTTCCAGAAGTTCATCTTTATGGCAGTGTACCAGAAAAATATAAATCTACAACTGTATTCTCGTGAAGAAACTTGTATACTCTCATACATGTATAAAGTAGATAAATTTCGCAAACTTTGTTGGCCGATCTCAAGTGTTGTAAATAAATAGAACAAAAAAAAAAGTTGTCCAAAGTCTACAGAAACTGTCAAATAAAAAATAGATTTATGTTCATGAAATTTCCTGTGAACTTTAAATCGATTTAAACACCGTGAGAAATATGGTATCTTTCTCTGATATAATTAGCTACGAACATGTCACGTATAGAGAACGTGTATAAGTTGAACTAAACTAACTAAAGCCAGGTCGTAGCTTTTATATGTCTGAAAAGGGCCATGTAATAGTGTAGGAGTTATCTTTTTGTTTTCTGTTCTCATCATGGAAATAGAATGAAAGGGAATTGTGAGACATCGCGAAAAGACGAATTGTGTTTAAAATATATCGTCTCTAGCTAGAAATAACCATTGAAATTACATTGGACCATTCAAATGTAAGGGTCATTTTGTACTAAGGATTCAATTACACATGTGACAAAAGAAGAAATAATATTATGTTAAACTTAACTCCTTTTTCTTGTATTGAAAGAAACAATTAAAAGAATAAAATACAATCCTTTCTTTTTATCTGTAGGGTAAAGAGTATCATTGAGCCTGTAGCTTCAAAAGCGAGAAAATAAAGCTAAGGCTGAAAAATTGAAGAATTAATTCAGGAACAAAGATAAGACATTGAATTAATGTGATGTTGAGGTACAATTTATTCTCTCGCGGGAAAATGGAAGCGATGTAGACTCTTCTCTTGTGTTGTCATCTTTATTCTTGTTTGCACTATTCCATTTTCTTTACACAACCATTCATGAATAATATTTAAGCATTCTTTACTAGTAGTTGTAGCAGTAGAGGTAAACATATAGAGCAACAAATACTATATTCTTCATCTAACTGTTGGTTTGAATTTCATCAGTAAAAGAGGAGATGAAGATCTGTGAATATTCATTAACTGTAGATACGAGTAAAAGCACAATGCTAATAAAAGAAAACGTCAAGTATAAATAAAGTTTCAGACGATTTTTTATTGATCTCCAACGTGAAAATAAGATAAAGTGGAAAATAAAGTTAATTTTATTCACTTGCTTACTTTGTGTAGGTTTTTTTCTTTAGGTAGTAGTCTCTAAGCTTGTGTATTTCATGTTGTTTGTTTTGCTTTTATCGCAGAAAAGTTTTTTCTTATCGATAATATAGAAGAAATTTTGTTTACAGTTAAAAAAACCACTTACGTAAATTTTTTTTCGGAATAAAACAATTTTCCGAGATGTTTGATAGAAAATTTTTATGTGAAAAGAATTTGTAAGAATTAGAATACTTTTTGAACTTTTGAAAATTTACTTCTTCAATCTTCACGTACACTTTCCTGTGTAAAATGGATGTAAGATGTTTGAACTTTTCTTCACCTGTGGCAAAAAACTCATGGCAAAGAAGAATGTGTATACTATCATTTTTTAAGATGCTGAAAAGACAATTTATGTGAACATCGTAGTTGATAAAAACTCAAACTCTGGAAAATTTAGTAAAATAAAGTTCAATTTTTTGTTTAAAACTACTTCGACTAAATTCATGAATTTTTTATTTCCGGTGAGGAATTGCTTTTTATTTAGGATTATCTATCTAAATCAATATTTTATGACTGCAAATTATCCTTACAATTAAATTACAAAAAAAATTATAAAATTTACAATGTTATTGTAACATAGTTAATGACAATTTTTAAAGTAATCACTCTGTAATTATTGCTATTCATTATTACTACTTGTTAATAAAACTCTTGTTTTATTTCTTAATAATAAATAAATACAATAGATAATTATAAATAAAAATAGCGTAAAAAAATTGTTATTTAATTATTCGCATAAAAATGGTCTCAATTAAACCGTTATTTAGCAAGAATTTTTTGTATTTTATGAATTCTATTTATTTTTATAACAGCTATGAAGCAGACAGTGAAACGACTTTTTCTGCTACGTGGACTAAAAACCTCGGCAATGATAAAAAAATTCTCTGTGAAAGAATTGTAAATAACTTTTTTCTTTGTGTTCAAAGAACCATGAAATAATATCTAGTTAATATTTTAATTTTTTTTTAATGACTTCAACACTTCTAATGCCCTACAAAATAGTGTTATCATCCAACAATTGTTTCTTCAAATTCAAGTAATTATTCAAAATATCTATAAAATTCCTACTTGCAAATAAAAATCACAAATTTACCATTGTCTTCATGAAAATCCAGAAATATTTTTAACAAGCATCTTGTCTAGCCTAAAATACAGAATACCTTCGAATGTAATTTAAATATTTGATATTTTTTAAAAAAATAGCAGATCAAGAATTTTAATATTTGTTCAAAAATCACACACAAAGCTCACCCACGAGCATGTGTTTAACACGTAAGTTCAAACATTCCTCAATAAAACGTAAATTCTCGTAAACAGGCTCTTCAAAAAGACAACGACGTCTATTTTAGATGAAAGCATATCGCAAGTCTTACGTTTTCGATCATCTCAAAATTCACTTCAGTGAAAGCTTCCACATGAATGAGAACCAACGAGGAAAATAGTTGAAGAGTGGAGTAAGCACGGTACAGAAAACGCGAGAAGATACAATAAAAATAAAAGTTGGTGGTACTGAGTGTTTGTAGAGAATGAGTAAGACGAGTATAAGTAGAAAAGTAAAGGCATGATTGTAAAGGCATACAGTAGAAAGGATATAGAAGCATAGAAAAGGCCTGAGGGTCTCACCATTTATTTTTGTCTTCCACCCTTCGATGTAGAATTTCGCATTTCTTCAACTTACTCTTGAATGCACCGAGTTGGCTCTCAAGACGAATACGCAACCATCTCTTACTCTTTTTCCAAGGCGTTTACTATCTTTCTACCAAACTCGACACACATGAATGCACTTATCTAGGCAAAAGCTCTTTTCTCGAAGAAAATTTATCGTCGTATGGATGTTAAGCTCTTTCATAGCACGAGCAAAAGCGGATTCAGATACGATCCGATATGATAACTTGATATTACATGAACATGATAAATTGGACTGAAGGAGTCAATCCAAAACATAAAAAACCAAACTTCATCATAATTTCAGAGTTCAAAAAAGCTGAATGGTAAATGAGAAACCCGTTGGGATACTCTATTATAATGAATGAGTTATTTGTGAAGCCAATAGAATGAATTTAATTACTATAACTCCCGGAAAGCATGCAAGAGGGAAAGAGGAATGGAAGAGGAAGTAAAAGATTGATGAATTATTATTCCCACATGATGGTTATTATTTTACAATCCACGCACTAAATTCCATTCAAAGTATCATTTTATATCAAATACCCAAAGGATGCTTCAACAATATTTCACCATTACATCTCTTGTAGATCTTATTAGTATATTATTTTTTATTATCATTTGAATGAGCTTACAACGATTCAATTGTTGTTGCAAATCTGTTCTATTGATAACTGGATAATATCATCATTGTATAATGATATGTTTGAGCCATGCAATATGATATTGTCTAATCCTATTATAAATTATAGCATTCACTATTATTTGATCTGTGCATAGGATGATTTATGTTGATTATTGAGCCACGTAATTACAGAGATTGCTTACATAACTAGCTTCACTAATTCCAGATTTGTGTGACCATTTTAACTATTTAGCAGAGCAGTTATAATTGTCTCAAAAATTACGGGGATCCTATTTATTCGAGTGGGTTGGCTGCATAACTGGAATTACTGAGAGTTGAATGGAAGTGGAAAATATTGAGAAAATTCGTAAGTCTAGACAAATATTTACTGGAGCGAGAGATAAATAGTTTTGTTTTTTTTTTTTGGGACTTAATAATTATAAAATGAATCTAAGGAATTAAAAAAAGTGGCGATTAATACTATAAATTGATCATATTGAATTTATACGTCTTGTGATCAAATTCCTAGAACATTCCGTTCGCATTCCAAGACAGCTTTAAAGCCCTTTAACTTTTTCATCACCAGCATTTTCCTCTTTCAGTGTAGAGA